CGGTGCCTCTGCTTGGGCTGGCTGTGCATGAACTTGAACGGTGTGGCGACGTACGGCTGTGTAAATCTTGAAATAGATTAGACCCATGGTAAGAAGACAAACCAATGCCACAGTCACCGCTGCAAGGTTACAAACATATCCACCGCTCAAAATACCGGTTAGAGCCAGGAAAGCACTGAGAAGCCAGCTTAAGATCACTGCAGCTACAACACGCTTGTACGTCACAAATTCTTGGTAGGTAAGAAGTTCCTGGTGTTTGAGGTGAAGGTGGATAGCAAGGAATCTGTCAACGCTGATAGCTGTGACACCGAGGAATGAGACATAACCAAGGGTACGTCCTATGGGGTGCAGAGCTCTATCTATATCTTTAGAAGTTTCCTGGTCGTCAGTTTGTTGTATTTGCATAATCATGCGAGCGATGTACAAAGGCTGGACAGCTAATCCAATACCAAGATCAGAAACAGCCACGCTAAGGATCAATGCTTTTAGAGTCTTTGGCAGTGATGTAGACCTTCGCAGCGCGAATATTAAGACAACGTTCGACATGATTGTTGTGTAACATGAGAAGAAATTGACTACGACGTTTATGATGAGGTAGGGAGAGAAATCTGCTGCCTCTTTCATCGTGTATTATAACTTCGTTTTTCCAAGAGAACGGGAGCGGAGTCAGAAAGGCATGCTTTCTTGAACGAGTTTACGTTTATGAGGAAGACGTCGGATGAAGGACTCTCTCCCTCCACGAACGCCTCTTCTTAGAGGTGTTCAAAACCGGAGTCCAGATGGCCTTGAAAGATGCAACAAGGAACTGCTCAAGGATCGAACAAACGTCCTAAAGATCACGTGATGTAACCTTACTGTTGACGTTTTGAAACATGCTGCGAACTGGGGTAAATTTGGACGTTTAAAAATTTGAAAACTTCTGAACGTCAGAGCAATTATATTAAAAGTCCATTTCCAATAAACATCCGTCGTTTAAAGGTGGTGTGCATCATCCTGTATTTTTTTCACATTTTGTTTCTTCGAATGGTGTCCGTTAGCACAAAGTAAAAGTTACAGTCCTCCCTAGAAGCCTCAGAAAAACGAATAAACGAAAAGATTACTATTCTTCATCAGTCTTCCTTGAAATCTACGTTTATTATAGAGAAAGAAAATTAATGCTCATCTTAAAAAAGGGAAACAAAATGATAGATCACCATACTAGTTTAAAAGAAAATGAAGACTATCTCTTTAGGGAGCTCCAGCTTTAAGGCAAAAGGCGCCATGTTTTAATGTGCGCGGTCTAATCATGGATTTAATTATGTGCAGTAAGGATGTACACTGCAATAATAAGGAAAAAACTTAACTGTTGTAAGTCTCGTGATCCAGACCAATGAAGGAAAAGTGAATTACATGATGCGAACGTAGATAGCAAAAATTCAGCTATTGTTCAGACACTTAAAACGTGCTTTATTATGCTTCAAAAAAAAAAAGGTTAAATCCAGAGCAAAAATTAAACGGAGGGAGAGAAGCGACGACCGGAAATGCGTCCGCTGTTCGCAGGCTACAGATGCCTCTAATATGTAATATTAAGTAACACCCTCCGGCTCCACGCCTGTTTTTTGCCAGGTTATCTTATTATGAAACAGCAAATAATTCACAGGGCTTCCAGTGGGTTATTGTATTGTTTGTGTAAATGCGTTATTTGTCGTATTCAACACTTTCCATGTAATAAGCTCTAAAAGAAGCGGTATGTCATATCTCGCTACAATATTAAACTTGTGTGCTGTCAAGGTTGAATTTGTTATTAACTTTTCTCTGACATTAACTTTTATCTTTATATTAACTTTTCTCTGAAATTGCTCGTCCTTCTGCTTGTCAAAGATAGAACACCTCCGTTTTTAACTCATAAAGAGCGATCAGCATCACATTTCTCCTTGCAATATTGGTGACAAGAATTAAGGGTATGATAAAAAAGATATGATGTGCGATACTTCAACAACTGCTCCCCACTACTTCAGGGAAAACGCGGCACGAAATGAGAATTTAAATTTTGATATTAGGGGCTTTTTTACCGTTAATAGGAAACGGAGGAAGTAGCAAATGATTAATTTGCAAATGTAGCTACATGTAGTCGTAAATTGCATGCGGTGCGGTGAATTTGGAGTAAAACTTTCGATTAACATTCAGCGGAAGTTAATCCATGATGTGGCTACGTTAACTGTTCTCATTAAAATGTTTTATACAACCATTGTCTTCAAGCCGATGACTGAATGATTTTGTAATTGCCCGCCTTATGATAAAAAATTTAAGTGTCTTGTCAGCGCCAAATCATGATGTGAAATAACTGCTACCAAAACAATATTTTGGCGTCTGACCTATAATTGTCACTTTGAATTATCACTTTGAATAATCAGCAATTAAGGCTGAACAGTCATAAAGGACGGTTTTCTAGCCTACTGGCCCAATATTTGTTATTATGAGAGTACAGCATGTATAACTGAAAGGCAGTCGCGCCCTTTAGATGGGAAACTCAACCGAATATAGAAACGCTACCTCTTCCGAGGTATTTAATCTGGCGACAGTGATCATATTTTGTTCTCTTAATATTCTTCTTTCCATCACGGCATCGGTGGGCAACATTCTGATCCTGATTGCTCTTCGCAAGGTAACTCCTCTTCATTCACCAACGAAACTGTTGTTTCAATGCCTGGCGATCACTGATCTTGGCGTTGGTCTCATTTCGCAGCCACTCTATGCCATCTTCATCTTTCTGATAAACTTCAACCTTTGGAATATCATCTCTATTCTCCACGATATAACTTTGGGGTTATCAATTTGTCTTTCTGGAGTTTCGGTACTCACAACGACTGCTCTAAGTGTGGACAGACTTCTCGCCCTTTTGTTGAAGCTAAGGTACAGGCACGTTGTGACACTGAAGCGAGCTCGTGCAGTTGTTTTCTGCTTTTGGTTAAGTCCTGTTTCGGGCATTTTCATGTTCTTGGTCTGGGATACAAACATCGCCTTGACAGCAATTTCAGTTTCGGTAATGCTTTGTATCGTTACCTCACTTCTTTCTTACACCATCATATTTATCAAGCTGCGTCTACATCAAGCTACTGTGCACCCTACTGTGCACCCTACTGGGCAATGCGATGTTCACCATCATGGGCAACCAATTGGAGGGGGAATTCCGGCGTTGCGCATAGCACAGTTTAAAAGAACCGTTACCAGCATAGGTTTGGTGCAGTCGGCGTTAGTTGTATGCTATATCCCATTTGTTATTGTAAATGCGATATTACTGTTGAATAACGTTCTTGCCAACCTTGAGGTTTCTTTCATAGCGTCTCTTGTATATCCAACTCTCGTCTTCTTAAACTCATCTCTTAACCCGCTCCTGTATTGTTGGAGGATCAAAGAAGTGAGGCAAGCCGTGAAGGCCACAATCAAACAGTTGTATTGTAATTGTTTACGCTGAGTTCCAAACCTCGGCGACCGAATTTATGAAGAAAGAGTCTAATTGTAAAATGGGTTTTCAATCGAACGAGTATATTTTAAAAGGACTTACTAGGGATATTAGCAGATAACGTAGTACACAATAATCGGTTGTTTCATCTTTTATGGAATTGATTTCAGGAAATGCGAGCTTTCTAGTAGATGTAAGCTTACAGTACATTGTCAATATGAGCCTTATAACACATGTAAATAACTCCACGATATAACTTGATTGTGACTGGATTAATGTTGGAGGTTGGTTGCACGCGGAACTCGCTGGCTAAGCGAAGAGGTACCGTGTCTTACTACACTGAGCAAATAAACAGATGTCTCATTGCTTTATCTTGCTATTTATGAGTCGACCTAAATGGGGTAAACCGACTTATTAGCCAAGCCAATGGTGAGCATTTTAATAGGTGTCTTCGGTTTGGGAAGTATAATTACTTTCTCTTAAAAACTGCAACGCCACGCAATAGTTTTAAAAATTTCACTTTGAGTTGGTGCAATTTGTTTTCTCAAAACAATTAAGATCCATTTTTAAAGCCCATGGCTTTAGGGAAACTTCTGATTGCTTCGGTATCGTGAGTCGATTTCTTTATTAATTTTTTGAAATTAAATAAAGAAATAGCTTTCTTATTCTCCCGTGTATTGCGGTGTTCTCTTTTCTTTGAATGCACGAAGTCCTTCCAAACCATCCATTATCGGTATAACCTGCGGAAACAAATGTTAAAAATTTCAGCCTCAAGGAACTACGAGGTTTTGTTCGTATTGGCGGCCCTCTTTTTTAAATTTTGTTCCCTTTTTTTCGTTATGGGTCAAAATGTCAAGCCTAGACTTGTCGTTAGGTCGAATGATGACCGTCGTCATTCTACTATGATTTTTAGCGAGAATGTCGCAGTGACGGAAATGAGTAAGCAAATAATAAAAGTTTGATCATTTTGCGAACGGGAGAGAGCTTAACCTCTTTAAATAAAACGAATCTTGTTAACTTTCTGGTGAAAAACAAGTACAAAACAAAACAAAAAAACAGTGAAGCTTTCCGGGATGAACATTTTGTTTGAGAATACGCGAACAAACTATAAGTTTAATCTCGTCCCCGTCCTAAAACTCTGCATAGGGATTTCGTAATGGGAATGTTTTATTCATGGTATGGTCTTAGCATCGCATAGAGAGAGAAGAACTAAAACTCGCTAGAATCGCCGTGAAATGGCCAGAAATGCTAGGAACATACATGAATAAAACAAGCAGGCAAGGTAAAAAGTTTTGATGTTTTTTTTATTTTTTATTTTGGTGCCCTAAATAACTATCGCTAAAATCCGCTTACCAACCATTATAATATTTCTGGTTTCTGTTACGCAACAACGATTCTCACTCCGGAGCTCGGGGTACCTGTGGGAGTAACTAGTCGTAAATTGCTTGTGGTGCAGGGTTATACAAAAGTGGATTTTAATTTTCGATTTAAGCCACAGCTAATCTACGTGGCTTCATTAACCATTCTAAAATGTTTTGTCTGCCTTCAAGCCAATGACTGAGTGATTTTGTAACCGTCTGCCTTGTGATAAAAAATGAATTGTCTTTTCAAGGCCATATCATAATGTGAAATAGCACTGCTACTGATGTGTTAGAAATCTCACATCAAACACAAGACAATATAAATTTTTGCTCTTCGATAGAAGCAAAAACAACTTAAACTTCTTTTGTATTTTACCACTAAAAGAAAAAAGAAATTGATCCTTGTGTTCAATTATAAAACTGTTTTATTGAAAATGCAAGTGTTCGTGGTCTTTACAAGCTCAGAGTTTTGGGGCAATAAAACAAAAGATATATATTTATTCATGACTGAACTTCCAGGTGATTCCTATTGTTTCATTCCCCAAGCTTTGGGGTGAAGTGTGAATTATTGCAGTGGTCTGGCTAACGACCTCGTTCCCAGAGTCCTTAAACTCGACTTCCTCCGTCGGGCGAGAACGAGGTTGATTGAGTATTCCTAAGCTCATTAATAATTCATGAAAAGAAAACAACAACGGGAAATCACTACCGTAACGGAGGTTGGAAAATATTAATTACCACAAAATTTTGCGAACTTTTATTGCTTTGAATATCTTCAAGAATCGTTGTTCATTGACAAGCTGTATCAAACACAACATTTAGTGTTTTATCTGATTTCCAGACGCCTTTAAGTCGCTCCTTTCTTGAAGGATGTTCGGCTCAGCATAGTCCCTAGCTGAGAACCTAGGACATCATCACACAGAATACGTTTGCTTGATATTTTATTAACTTCTCCACACTACTTCTACAGTAAATGAATAGGGGCGACAAAGGAGAATTTTAATTTTGATCCTAGGGTTTAAACGGTTAAGGATGATGACGTTGATCGCTCTTCATGATCTTTCCTGCATTAGTTAAAACTAATACTTACATAACAAGTCGTGCATCATTCTTTCTTAATTTAAAATTAATATTTTTGTGAGGTTTATTAATCGATTCGCCAGAAAATTCTACCTTAAGTCAGACTATTATACATGTTATGTCATTCAAAATGATAATCATAGAAAACCAAGAACTTTTAATTTATAGGTTACAGGTGTACGAAGTTATCTGCATACTATTGTTTTTAGATTAAAGTTCTAACTTCCGCCAATTTTTATTTGTCACCCAAATAAAAGTGCAATTTAAAATACAAACAAACCTAATAGCAAAAGTTACGGTACGTTTGGCGTTTTTATATGTAATAAAGGACGAATAAGGCCATCAAGAACGAATAAATCGGGAAACAAACAAAAGTTAAGCTCTGACTATCGTTTAATTATGACACAGGAAAACCGTTATAACTTCCTGAACGATGAGAATACAGACTAGAAAGGTCATGTCATTTTTCAAAGCCTGAATTAAGTTAGTAAAAATTAACCTTCTTGAATCTGATTCTGACTTGCGAATATGTCGCGCAGAATGTTCTTGACAGCGCATCGGATGTGTCTAAACTTCCAGCAGTAAACCAGAGGAAAAAGGGATGAACTCAAATATAACAGCGTCTAAGCGTAAATTAAGAAATGTTCTCTCATTTTCTTCATCTTTCCGACCAGGATCACAATAGCGATTGGCAAGTGGCCGGCCAAAAGCAACAGATAGACTTAAAGTTTAGCCTTCCTGAATCTGATTCTGTCTTACGAATATGTTGAGCAGAATGTTCTTGACAGCGCATCGGATGTGTCTAAACTTCCAGCAGTAAACCAGAGGAACGAGGGATGAACTTAAATATAACAGCGTATGAGCGTAAATCATCAAATGTCGTCTCTTCTTATTCCTTTTTCGTCCGGTCAGGATCACAATAGCGATTGGCAAGTGGCAGGCCAAAAACAACAGATAGACGTAAAATGTACCAACTGCTGTTTTTCGCAGTCTTTCGAAGTTTGAGCGATTTTCTTCGTTCGGTGCCACTGCTTGGGCTGGCTGTGCATGAACTTGAACGGTGTGGCGACGTACGACTGTGGAAATCTTGAAATAGATTAGACCCATGGTAAAGAGACAAACCAATACCACAGACACCCCTACAAGGTTAGAAACATGTTCGCTGCTTAAAACTTCGGTTAGTGCCAGGGAAGCGCCGAGAAGCCAGCTTAAGATCACTGTAGCCACAACACGCTTGTAAGTCACAATTTCTTGGTAGGTGAGAAGGTCCTGGTGTTTGAGGTGAAGGTGGATAGCAAGGAATCTGTCAACGCTGATAGTTGTGACACCGAAGAATGAGACGTTAGCAAGGGTGCGTCCTATGACGTTAACTATTTCTTTATAAGTTTCCTGGTTGTTGGTGTTTTTCATGTCCATAAGCAGTCGCGCGATGTGCAAAGGCTGGACAAGTATTCCCATGCCAATATCAGCAAGAGCCACGCTAAGGATCAATGCCTTTAGAGTCTTTGGCAGTGATGAAGTCCTTCGCAGCGCGACTATTAAGAGGATGTTCAGCATCACTGTTGCGTAAGACAGGAAGGAATTGACGACGCAGTTTAGGACGAGGGAAGCCTTTTTCATTGTGACGATAAGAACTGTAGCGGAGTCAGGAAGGCACGCTCTCTTAAATAAGTTTGCGTTGATGAGGAATACTTTAGATGAATCGATCGGATGAAGGACTCTCTCCCTTCGCTAACTCCTCTGCCTTAGTCTTTCCTTCTTAGAGCTGTTCAAAACCGGAGTCCAGGTGGCCTTGAAAGATGCAACAAGGAACTGTTTTAGGATCGAATTAATGTCCTAGGGATGGTCACGTGATGAAACCTTCTTGCTGACGTTTTGAAATGTGTCACAAACTGGGGTAAATTTGGACGTAAGAAATATGAAAACCTTTGAACGCCAAAGCAATTAGATTAACCCTTTTAAGCCCTAAGAGTGATCAGCATCAAAATTCTCCTTGTGATATCAATGCTTTGTAAAACAGAGTGGTTATGACAATTATGGAAATGATCACACAAGATGAATTTGCTTGATATTTTATCAACTTCTCCCCACTACGTCTCTAGGAAATGAATAGCGGCAACAAATGAGAATTCAAATCTTGATCTTAGGGTTTAAAGGGTTAAAAGCCTATTTCCGATGAACTCCCGTCGTGGTGTGCACTATCTGATGTTTTTGTTTTGTTTTGTTTTGTTTTTTTTCACATTTTGTCTTGTTGCATGGTTTTTGTTAGCACAGATTAGTTTAACTTCGTATTCTCCATCACTCCCGCTTGAAGTCTACGTTTATTCTAGAGAAAGAAAATTAATGCTCATCTTGAAAGAGAAAAACAAATTGGTAGATTACCATATTCGTTTAAAAGAAAATGATTTATCTTTCTAGAGAGCTCCAGCCTTAAGGCTGTTAATGTGCACGGTCTGATCATGGATGTAATTATGTGCAGTAAGGACGTCAAATGCAATAATAAAGTAAAAACTTAACCGTTGTAAGTCTAGTGATCCAGACTAGGTAGACAGTAAGCAATCAGGTTTTCACCAG